CTCCCGGCGGAAGGTGGTCTTTCTCTCCGGAGCTCGGTGTCCTAATGACCTCGAGACAAACACGGCTGGGCGGAGTCCGGGGCTATGGGCCCAGCACAGGGTGGACACACTCAGATGTTCAGGCTTCGAGTCCAGGCGTGGCTGTGGATGTGCGCACGTGGAGAGGACCGGAAACTGTCTAGGTTTTGAGGGAACTAGGTAACTAAAGCAGCCTGGACCTGTCTGGGCTCATGGCTGTTGAACCCCTCGGACTGTCCCTGGGCTCCCCAAGTGGCATCAGAAAGAGGCAGGCCGTGGAGGGGTCTGCCCCGCGAAAGATGGCCTTCTCTCCAGTGCTCACCTCAGGTGGCCATGGAGACCCGTGGCCCAGCAGACTCGTCTCCAGGGAGCACTGAGCCAGGGCCGTGGGGGACAGTGGGCAACATAACGTCTCCCGGAGCAGAACGGGGGTGGCCCTAAGGAACAATCACAGCTCAGGCCTGACGGTTGCCAGGGAGCGTGCGGGTTTCCTGTTCTGCAGTGGTCCAGCCGGGCTGTAATCGGGCTGGGCGCGGCCCGCGTGCCCTGACTACACCGTCCTGTGTGCAGCTTCCCTACAGAGTCCGTTTCTTCCCCACCTTTGCTACTTGTCTGTGGTTACTCCCTCAGCCGAGAGAGACTTCCAGTTTTCCTACTTACCCTTCAAGGCCGAGTCCACATGTCACCTCCTCCCAGAAGCCTTCTCTAACTGCTCAGGGCTTCCTTTGAGCTCGCCTGCGTGTACTTCCAAAAGGAGCTTCCCCTGGTGTCTCAGATGGTAAAGAATCTGGCTGCCATGCGAGAGACCTGGGTTCGATCCCTGGGTCGGGAAGATCCCCTGGAGAAAGGCATGGCTACCCACTCCAGTATTCTTGCCTGGAGAATTCCATGGACCGAGGAGCCTTCCAAATAAGCATTGATGGTACCGTGTCATCATGTATCAGTCAGTTATTGCCCCAGTAACGCTGCGTAACAAATTACCCCCCAATTAGTGGCTTATTACAGGAAGTGCTTGTTTTCTCACTCATGGGTCTGCAGAATGGCTGCACGTCTGGCCAAGGCTCTGGGTCAGCAGGGCTTGGTTCCCAGCCTTGGGCTGGCTTCAGGTTTCTTCCAGGTGTCATTCCGGGCGCCAGGCTCATGGCGGAGCTCCAGAGCACAGGAGGCCAAGTCTCATAAGACAGGTGCGTTGAAAGCCTCTGTTTGCACCACATCCTCTAACATGCTGCAGCCTCAAACCAGAGCTGGTGAGGCAGAGGGGTGCCCTCCACACATGCTGCCTCGGTATATACTGTGAGCTTCTCACTGCCTGTGTCTGAGTCTCCTGTGGTCCCAGCCCCCGTCAAGAGCAGGTGCCCAGAGTCTTTGAAGAACTGACCTTGCCCCTGAGGCCACGTGCTGGCCTCTTGTTGCCCCTCACCGGCTGCTGGGTCTGGTCACGCAAGCGCTCCTTCTGTTGGGGATGTCTTCAATTAATTAATGTCTCATCTTACTGCCCTGTGAGTTCCTTTTGATCAAGGAAGTCCATTTGTACTCCTGATGGGGAAGGAGTCGCAGAGGTTGAGCTCTTTCCTCTGATACAGGGGAGCATCATGCACCCAGTAGGTGCTTTCTGAATGTTGGCCAGCCAGAAGGCAGACTGGGATTTGGGGTGTCATCAGGTCAAGCAGGCTGCCAGGCAGGCCTGAGCAGCGGTACCCGCAGGGGTGTTTGTGTGTAGTGGGTGCTCAGTGGGTGTTCCTTTCCTNGCCCGGATCAGAGCCCCTCACAGGCCTCCTTTCTGCCTTTTCCTTCTCTGCACCCACCCTGTCTGTTCACTGCCTCCCAGGCCTCATTCCCCATCGGATGCTGGGGATACATCGTTTCTCCTGAATGGAAAGAGACTCTGGCAGTGAGGTTGCCAAAAACGTAGACTTGAAACCAGATATGTTTTTTCCAAGAGGAAAAGAATTTTAAAATCTTGGCCTGAGAGTTTTGTTCCAGAGAGAAACTGAGTCTCCAATCTTCCTTTGGGATGTAGCTTCTCCCAGCTTTCCGTCTTGAGATGAGTTTAAAGGAGAGGTTCGTGGAGGGTTGAAGGGACTGTGTTGACCTGCAGCTTTGTCTTCCTGGCTGTTTACCTCTGCGCCTCAGCTCACACTTCTCCCCTTTCTGGGAAAAGCCTTTCTCTGTCCTTAACACCTCTGGCTCTTACTTACCCTTCAGGGCTCCGCACAAATGCTTCCTCCTTCATGAAGCCTCCCTGATCACTTGGTGCTCACACGGTGAGTGGCCGGGTAAGTGGACTGGATTCAGAATCAGACAGCCCTGGGCTCGGGTCCAGGTCCTGCCAGCTATGTGAGCAAGTCCCGCAGTGACCCTAGGCCTCAGTTCCCCACCTGTACAATGGGGATGGCAAGGGCAGCCCTTACCTTAGGGGCTGGTCAGGGGAATCAAACAGTCAGACAGCATCTGTCCCCAGAGTGCCCGGCCCCTACAGGTGTTTGGAATTGCTGCTTCTTCATAACTGTCCCTGCACGTGCATGTGTGTGTGTTCAGCCCTGTCCGACTCTCGGTGGCCCCGTGGACTGTGGCCCTCCAGGCTCCTCTGCCCATGGGGTTCTCCAGGCAAGAATACTGGAGTGGGTTGCCAATTCCTACTCCAGGGAATTTTCCCAACCCAGAGATCAAACCTGCGATGGAGTCTCCCGCACCGGCAGGTGGATTCTTTACCACTCTGCCGGTCTCTGGGTTTCTGCTAAATCATCACAGTTCCCATGACCCATGCACCCTGCTCAGGCTGGGAAGAGGCTGGCAGCGAGCTCAGCTTGGGGTTTCCTGGCAGACTCCCCTCTCTGTAGCCTCTGCAGGAGCAGCACAGTTTCTGGACTCTGCCTCCCAGGCTGGGGGCTAAGGTCACCCCCCTGGTGGCCCTGAGGTCCTGACAAGGAAGGATCTTTCTCCTTCACTGCTCCCGCATTGCTCCAAAATGTCTTCAGCTTCCTTTCCGACACGCAGACAAGCATCATCACCTGGCAAAGGCTTTGTTTAAATCAGTGTTGCATGAGAAGATGGAAAATCACTTATCAGCCTCGGCAGCTGTTAGACGAGACAGATGTAAAACTCCTGACCTGGTCACTGGCTTTTAAGAATGACAGAAACATGATGCTGATTGGGATAAAGGTTTCACCCTCCCTGGAGCAGCACAGATGATTTTTGGAGAGTCAGACCGGGAGTGCAAACCCTCTTCCGATGCGTGGGAATGCAGCAGGATGGGACTGAAAAAGCCTAAGTCTGGTGTTTGTCGATTTTCCATGTACCCCAACCAGCTGGCCAGTGTGGCCCGGTCACTTCCTGGATTTGCACCCCCAGTCTCTCATCTGGAAAAGAGATTAATCTCTCCCTCAGAGGGGATTTGTGTGGATTTGCTGAGATGGTGTGGGGACCTGATCACCCACACGGTAGAAGCTCAGAAGATGCCAGACCCTCTCCCCAAGGCCCCTAAGTACCTCATCCAGGTAAATTCCCTAAAACGTAAATTCTAGTAGGTGACCCTTTCGGTCAAAATCACATGACTTAAAGAACAAAGTCAACATTCTTCTGCTCAGAGTTCAAGTCCCTCCAGTATCTGCCCCCTGCTGTGTTCCTGCCCTGTGACCTTCCAGGTTCCATCTGAGAGGCGGTGGTTAACCCTTGGAGCTCCACCTCCCATCTCCACCTCAGGCACGCTCTCTCATCCCTGTCTCAATGCGCTGCTTGTTGGCAAACAGACCTGCATTCAGACTCTCCTCTGAATCATCAGAGTTCTAAGCTGCAAGTAACCAAAACCCACTCTGGCTGATTTAAGCAGAAAGAATTTGCTTTAGAGGGGAGTGAGTCACCGCCGATTTACTGGACAATGAGGTGGGAAGGCAGCTGCTACTTGAAAAAGCAACAGTAAACTCAGCTCAGAATGATTGAAACAACAAGGAAGGTTCACGGTTCCTGGTAACAAGCAGAAGTCCAAAGGCGGGGCAGCTCAGAGGGGTTCGTTCAGCGGCTCTGTGATGGACTCTAGGACCCAGGTCTTTCCATCTTTCTGCTCTGATGGGCCCTCCTGATGGTCACAAGGTGGTTGGAGCATCTCATTCAGACACAAGGATATCCATAGGAAGAGGAGAGCTGGTCTCTTCCTGTGAGTCATTGGGAATTAAGGGAATCTCCCAGCGTCCCTTGGGCAGCCCTCTCCTCAAACCTCATTGGCCAGATGGACATCACATGCCTGTGCACAGACCAGTCATTAGCAGGGAGGTGAACTAATCAGGAGGCTTGTCTATAGCAGATGGGAGTGCAGATTGGTGCCACCCTTTTGGAAACAGGCTTGGCAGGGTCTTCTAGTCAAGGCTATGGTTTNCCAGCCCAGTATTTCACATGATGTACTCTGCATACAAGTTAAATAAGCAGGGTGACAATATACAGCCTTGACGGACTCCTCTTCCAGTTTTGAACCAGTTTGTTATTCCAAGACCAGTTCTAACTGTTGCTTCTTGGCTTGCATATATACTTCAGAAGTAATTATACTCCAATAATAAAAGAAAATGTTATAGAGTGGATCAGTGCAATAACTTACAATGATGCCAACTTACCTGTGAAGGAAAGCAGGGGAACGAAGCAGCCATTTCTGGGTGAGGCCTGACCCTCAGAGTCCCCTCCTTGATGGCTCCCAGTCTCCAGAATTTGAGACGTGGCTCCTCCTCCTTGGGTCTCTCCTCTTGGTCAGCTCCTACAGGTCTCCCTGCTGGGCCCTGGACCCAGGTCTGCCCTGCTCTCCCACACAGCACCTTCCGTCCATGCAGGACCCCTCTTCCAGAAGAGGTCACCCCTCCTCCATTTGGCAAACTCCTACTCACCCCTCAAGGCCCAGCTCAAAGGTCATGTTCTCTGTGACATCATCACTGCCTGCACAAAGCCCTGAAGGAGGGTGGAGCGAACCCTGGAGTACTGATGGGAATGAGCTCCTTGTTGAGGGCACAGCGGGTGCAAAGGCCCTGAGGCGCTAGTGTTCCTGGAACGGGCGAGGAGGCCTGTGTGGCTGGAGCAGCGGGGGTGGGGGGCACAGGAGAGCGGGGCTCACCGGATGAGGTCTGCATGGGGCAGATGTGGGGTTTGGTAAGGACCTGGCTTGTACACTGCCTGTGATGAGAGGGAAAGGTCTGACTTTAGGTTTCAAGGGAACCTCTGGCTGCTGAGCTGGGAAGAGACCGTCGGGGCAGTTAGGAGGTGAGGATGAGGTAGTGTCCTAGGTGTGGCGATCACTGCCTCTTAGGTGCTGAACCCCAGTGTCGTGTCCTACCCTGTCCCCCGCTTTGTCTTCACAAACACACACGTACACACCAGAGACACCCATGCCGTGAGTCCTTTTGTCTTACCTTCCTTCCTGATCTGCTAACCTGGTGTGAGACCCCAGGGGGGTGCCCCATCCTCAGGGAAGCCTCTTTAAGCTCCTCTGTGTCCTGGCATACTCACCGTTCCCTCCTTTCTATGTTCCAGAACCTTCCATGCCCCCCCCCCCGCCACTGTGTACCATAACACCAGTGACCCTGACTGAGCCCCTCATATGACCAGGTCCCATCTGACCCCAGAGTCCCACCAGGGTCCCCATGTTACATCTGGGAGAGCGGGTCAGGCCACCGGCTGAAGAACACACAGTCTGCAGGTGGCCAGGGTGCCAGACACCAAGAGTGTTTCCTCTGCTGGCCTGGGGGTCTTGGGGACAGGGGTCTGGCCCATTACGTCTGGGGCCCTGGGGCCGCCCATGAAGGCTGTCGCGGGGACTCTGGGGGACTTGGAACGTCTACCCACAGTGGCCGTGGACCGTCTGTGGCCTGGTTTAACACCAGGTGGGCAGCGTGCCTCTGGGTCTCAGGCCCGGGAGCATGTCCCCCCCTTGAAGCCTCATGCTTGCTGTGCTGGGAAAGATGAATCTCGTCTGCCTGCTTGCGTGCATGGGGCTGACTCCGTAGCTCTCAGCACCTTCTGGCAATTGTCGATTTTCCTCGTTCGTCTGCTCTACCATCCCTCCCTAGAGCAGTGCTCCTCCGCCTTGGCTCTCTGGACGTTTGGGGCTGGGTCACTCCCTGTGGGCGCCTGTCCTATGTGTTAGCAGTGGCCGTGTCCTTCACCCAGTTGAGGCCGGGAGCAGGCCTGCCCCCAGCTTTGTGAAAATCAGACACATGTCCACCCGGCCTGGTGGCCTCTGGGAGACCGAACGCCCCTGCATTGAGAACTACAGCCCGGAGCATCAGCTGCTTGAGGACGGGAAGTTCGGCCTGTGTGTTCACTCCGGTGTCCAGCCCCGACCCCCCACCTGCCGGGGACGGGGCCTGGGATGTGGGCCTCCTGAACAAGATCCTGCTGTGTGCTGCTGAGTGGGGTGCACGCGGGCCCAGCCAGCCCCCTGCAAGAGGAGGTGTGGTCCCCTTTCCCAGGTGGGGAAATGAGGCTCAGGAGGGTCAGCACCCGAGCGGGAGACGGAGGCTCCAGGACGGGGGCACACCGTCGGGTCCCGACGTCTTCGGTGTCCCAGGGCAGGGCTGGCTTTCAGCTGGTCGGTGCCAGGCCCAGAAGGGCCACGCGAGAGGGGAATGTGTGAAGGGGCCAGGGGGTGCGTCTTCTCTTAGCTCTGGTGTGGACTGATGGTAGTCTGTGCAGCAAAATTAATGGGGAAAAAAGCAATCAAAATATCATCCAGCCACGAGAAAGAAGGATGGGTGGAACTTGAGGGTATTATGTTAAGTGAGATAAGTCAGGGAGAGAAAGATAAGGACTGCATGGTGTCACCTCTATGTGGAATATTTTTTTGTGTGTGTGGAATATTTTTAAACAGTCAAGTTCATAGAAACAGAGTAGGAAAGTAGTTGCTGGGGGCAGCTGGGAGTGGGGAGGAGCAACAGGGGACGAGGGAAGGGCACAGACTTTAGCCGTAAGACGGATAGGAGGTGAGGGTCTAACATAAACATGGTGACTGCGGTTGATGCTGCGTGTCATTCAGTCACTAAGTTGTGTCCGACTCTCTGTGACCCCAGGACTGCAGCACACCAGGCTTCCCTGTCCTTCACTGTCTCCCAGAGCTTGCTCAAAGTCATGTCTGTTGAGTCGGTGATGCCATCCAACCATCTCGTCCTGTGCTGCCTCTTTCTCCTTTTGCCCTCAGTCCTTCCCAGCATCAGGGGCTTTTCCAATGAGTTGGCTCCTTGCATCAGGTGGCCAAAGTATTGGAGACTCAGCTTCAGCGTCGGTCCTTCCAGCGAATATTCAGGACTGATCTCCTTTAGGATGGACTGGCTGGATCTCCTTGCAATCCAAGGGTCTCTCAAGAGTCTTTTCCAGCACCACAGTTCAAAAGCATCAGTTCTTTGGCACTCAGCCTTCTTTATAGTCCAAATCTCACATCCATACATGACCACTGGAAAAACCATAGCCTTGACTAGATGGACCTTTGTTGGCAAAGTGATGTGTCTGCTGTTTAATAGGCTGTCTTGGTTTGATACATTGGTTGATATCTATGGTTGATACATTGTACGTATAATTGAACTTTGCTAAGAGTGTGTGTTAGTCGCTCAGTCCTGTCCAGCTTTTTGTGACCTCATGGACTATAGCCCTCCAGGCTCCTCTGTCCATGGGATTCTCCAGGCAAGGATACGGGAGTGGGTTGCCATTTCCTTCTCCAGGGGATCTTCTCTACCCAGGGTTCAAACCCAGGTTTCCCGCATCGCAGACAGATTCTTTGCCATCTGAGCCACCAGGGAAGCCCTTGCTAAGACAGTAGAACTTAAATATTCTCACCAAAGGGAAAAAAAGGAAAAGAGATAAATATGTGATGTGACTGATGTGTTAATTAACTAGATGGGAGGAATATTTTCACAGGGTATCTATGTATCAAATCACCATGACACACACTGTAAATATCTTACAGATTTGTCAGCTGTACGTACCTCAGTGAAGCTGGAAAAACCCCACGCCAACTGGAGATTGTTGATTTTCGGTGGGAAGGCTGGCGTGGAAGCCCGGCTGGGGGTCTGGACCCTGCTGACCTCCGAAGGCAGAGCCTGGGGCCTGTCAACCTACCTGTTTTGGCACACAGCGCCTGCCCACCCGTCCGGATATGCTGGGCTCCCCGGGTAGAACCCCTCGCTCGGGGCCCAGGTGCGGGCTGACGGGCTCAGGGAGACGGACTGTAGTCAATCTGAGTCAGCTCATCCTGATTTGAAATTCAGATCCCGACTAAACAGAACATTAATCTGAATTTCATATTTTGTTATTTTTGCAGACCCAGCCAAGTGTGTGTGCCAGGCAGGGCGGAGGCACGGAGGCTGCTCTGCGACGGGGGAGAGGGGGCGTGATGCCCACCAGCCGGCTCTCCCACACCCCTGGGAGGGGAGCCGGCTTCTCTCTCTGGATAATTCAGCCGCAGCTGAACAACAAGTCAGAACCGCAAGGACTGGGGCCGACCTCCTCCGGCCAAGGTACAGTGAGGACGTCTGGGGGTAGGGTGTCCCGAGAAGCCACACCGTCAATGTCACCCTGTTTTGGAGCGGCCTGCAGGCCTGGCCTTGGACCTGGGAGGTGGGCTCAGCTAAGAGGGAGGAAATGGATAGCAGCCGGGCCTGGCGGTGGCACTGGGAGCGGACTTGTGGGCCACTTGTTCCTGACCTCATGATGAAGAGTGGGAAACGCCAATCAGACGAGGCTCTCAGAACCCCCACCCCACTCCCCACTCAGGGCCATCACTGCTGATCCCCACGGAGGGCCCGGACTCTGCTGTCCCAGGGCTGCTGTCCATCACAGACATGGCCGGGATTGTGGCCAGACCTCCCCCTCCAGCCTCATCCTCCACCCAACTCCATGCAGAGCGACCAGGTCCCTCTCTCCCTCAGTAAACTTCTGTGGCTCCCTATGGCCCGAGGGACATTAAAGCCCTGGCTTTGGGGGCGGGGGTCAAATCCTGGCTCAGTCAATGTATTAGCCAAGTGGCCTTGGGCAAGTTTCTCAGCTCCTCTGTGCCTCGGTCTCCTCAGCTGTACGTGGGGTTAAGAGTGAGGTAGGGTCAGGGCAGCGAATGTGTGAGGCCCTAGGGCGGTGCTGCAGGACCCGGGCCTGTCTGCGTCCCCAGCCTCCTCACTCTCCGGACGGGACCAGGACCCTCGCCCCGGCCAGTGTCCCTTCTGGAGGTGGGGGTGGTTGTTTCTGAGCCTCCAGATGCCCGCTGACACTCCAGCCTGGGGGCCCTGGTGGGGCCGCCTGCAGCTGCATGTGGGGCGATGGATGACAACCCTACCGCATCCGTGTTGACCGAGGCAGCCCCTCCCTGGGCTCCAGCCTTTATTTACAGCCAACTGGAGAGGCTGGCTAAGCCCTCTCTGGACTCACCCCTATTTACCAGCCCCTCCGACGTGGCTGATCGCAGCCTCATCGCTCTCCCGTCTGGGACCCCTCACCTTTCTGTCCCAGCCCTTCCGGGGAGGAAGGCGGGCAGAGAGCATGAAAGTTACGTTCATCAGTGGTTGTAAAAACAGTGACTTCTTGAGGGCTCACCGTGCTCCTTTTACACATCCTCTGTGCCATTCCCTGGCCGTTCTTCAGGGCACAGACTCAACCACTTCCATTTCCAGCAGAGAAACAGAGAGGTTGAGGGGCCACCTGGAGCCACACAGCAAGGAGTTGGTGGGGCTGGGGCCAGAACCCGGCAACCCGGCTCCAGAGTCTATACTCTTTAGCTCATCAGCTGCAGTGTTATGACCAGTCAGAGGCCATGGCTAGGTGACTGGGGCGGGGGGAGTGACCGGTCAGTCAGTCAACAAGTGTTTCTGAGACCTGGGCACTGGGGGACACAGATGGTAGGAGTCAAAGCTGAGCGCTGAAGAACTGATGCTTTTGAACTGTGGTGTTGGAGGAGACTCTGAGAGTCCCCTGGACAGCAAGGAGATCCAACCAGTCCATCCTAAAGGAGATCAGTCCTGAATATTCACTGGAAGGACTGATGGTGAAGCTGAAACTCCAATACTTTGACCACCTGATGCAAAGAACTGACTCATTGGAAAAGACCCTGATGCTGGGAAAGATTGAAGGCAGGAGGAGAAGGGAACGACAGAGGATGAGAAGGTTGGATGGCATCACCAACTTGATGGACATGAATTTGAGTAAACTCCGGGAGTTGGCAATGAACAGGGAAGCCTGGCGTGCTGCAGTCCAAGGGGTTGCAAAGAGTCAGACACAACTGAGCGGCTGAACTGAACTAATATATTCCCTTCTTTAATTTGCTAAAGTAAAATCCATGCAAGTTAGGTGTGATTATTGTTATGTTTTCTTTTCCAATCGGTTTATCCCAGGATGTGGGACACGGTTCCCTGTGCTGATCAGCAGGACCTTGGTGCTTTTCCATTCCGTGTGTGGTAGTTTGCACCTGCAAATCTCAGCCTCCCACGCCATCCTCCTGCTGTTGGCAGCCACAGGTCCGTTCTCTATGTCTGTGAGTCTCTGTCTGTTCTGTAGATAGCAGACGTGCCCTGCAGTTACAGCAAAGACTGCAGGGTTCAAAGGCCTGAACGGGCTTAGCCCCTACCCTCTAGGGGCTCTTCCGGGACCAGGGCAATGGGAAGGACAGGCCCAATGATCTGGCGCTGAGCCCTAAAGGAGCCCTGGGCACGCGTCCTCTACTCATCTGAGGCCCACCGGGTCTTCAGGGGTTGGGTCAGGGAGCCAGGTACCCCTTTTGCTGGGGATGTAAGCGCTTTGGTGGTGGAGGCCCAGAGGCAGCTGAGTCTCTGACCTCCCTCGCGCTTGGCACCTCCTCCTGTTGTCTCTGCCTCCATGAGATCACTACCCTCCAGACCTTACCCTCTAGACCTCATGTGATGCAATTTAGATCTGCCATTGGAGGCCTGGGTTTCACCAAAACATTTCAAAGCCACCATGAAGTGCTCATGTGATTTTTGCATTGGCCTGTCCTCTTTGTCCTCTGTATGCTCCGGGCCTCTGGGGTGGAGAGACGGCCAGGAAGGAGAGTTCATGATGGGGAGGAAGTGATGATGGAGGGAACAGCGAGAGGTCTGCAGCCTCGGAGGGGCGGGCAGAGTTTGGGACTTCTGTCCCCCCAGTTGCTATGTGACTCTGAGTAAGTGTCTTAACCTCTCTGGGCTTCAGGACTAGAAGTTGGCGAAATCCAAGGGTGTGGGGAAGACTGTTGTCCCACTGTACAAAAACGTCCAACTGATTTGTGCCCAAAAGCTCATTCGTGTTTATGCAGCAGGGTCACATTAATAGAACATCTCTCGTCTCTCCTGTTGTCTGTTACCACTGACCCTGTCTAAACTCAGTCCCCTTGGTATAGGATGGGGCTGAGGGCCTGAGTTCTGTCCTAAGTACCATGCACATTCCACGGGGTACTCAGGACTCTGGCCCGATAGGACAGCTTCAGGGGCACAAGGGAGCTTTTCGGGGTGATGGAAATATTGTTCATCCCAATCATGATGGTTACATGACTGTAAATATATGTGAAGATTCAGAACCATACACTGAAAAGGGTGGATTCAACAGTTTGGGGCTTCCCTGGTGGTTCAGCTGGTAAAGAATCCGCCTGCAATGTGGGAGACCTGGGTTTGATCCCTGGGTTGGGAAGATCCACTGGAGAAGGGAAATGCTACCCATTCTAGTATTCTGGCCTGGAGAATTCCATGGACTGTATAGTCCATGGGGTTGCAAAGAGTTGTATGTGACTGAGTGACTTTCACTTTCTTTCTTCCTACTTGCTTTAGGAATTTCACTTTGGGGAATTAAGGGAAGAAAAGTAATTTGGACAAAGAAGTAAAGAGGTGAGAAGATGTTTATGAAAATTGTTTACTACAGTAAAAATTTGAAAACAATGTGTGTGTGTATTCAGTCATAAATGGTAATAGATAAGCTGTATGTTTACGTGCTATTAGATTTTGTATTGTTTTAATAAAAATAGGGATGATGAAAAAATTCTTTTAAATGGTGGCATCTAGGAGAGTGAAAAAGCTGGCTTAAACATTCAAAAAACTAAGATCATGGCATCCGGTCCCATCACTTCATGGCAAACAGATGGGGAAAGAATGGAAACAATGAGANGAGTCGACACGACTGAGTGACTGAACAGAGCATTTAAATCAGTAGACTTGCAGTAAGGCGGATAACCGGCTGTGGTGTGGGTAGGCCTTGCCCAGTCAGGCGAAGGCATTAGTGAAAAAAGACGGAGGTCCCCAAGGAAGAGGGGGCTCTGCCAGCAGATGGCCTTCCGCTCTGGCCTGGGTGTCCAGCTCGCTGGCCTGCCCTGCAGATTTTGGATTTGCCAGCCCTCACCATCTCACGAGCCAGTTCCTTAAAACAACCCCCTCTGTGTGTGTGCACACACACGCAGTCTGTTGGTTCTGTGTCTCTGGACAACCCTGAGGCTAGAGGCCCCTTAGAAGGCCAGGTCAGAGAACCTCCCATCACCTCTGTTAGGACCTGAGTCCTGCCTGTTCCTGGACTTCTGAACCCTGAGGGCCGGGCTTCCACAGCATAGCCGCATGCGGGGTCTGCATGTCCAGAGTGGGGACTGCGGGTCTCTGCTGCTTGTGGCCGGATTCCCCACTCCTGGCGGGGAAATCCCCTCTCCATCTTGGAAAGTCGTTTTCCTACCTTCAGACGGCGTGTTCATCTGTTGTCTGTCCTCCTGGTCTTGCCCCTGCCCATCAGCCCCGAAATGGGATTTCTCAGGCTACCGCGCCTCCCTCCTCGGCTCTCAGCGCCAGCCCACCTCACCCTTGCAGAGATTCGGGCTACGTTCCTCTAATCTCCCCCCTTAAATCAACACCCCGGCTATTAATCATGCTTGTCCCTGGGAGACATGCTTGTCTCTCCGCGTCTTCTCTCCTGCGGTAACGGTGCTTGTCCGCCTTTCCTGCCCCAAATAGAGATTGATTATCTCCCTCCGCTTGCGCAGAGATAAGGATCGCTGGCCTTGGGCGCACGCGGGCATCGGGAGAGCCCCAGTCTGTCTCCCAACACCCTCGCCCAGCGTCCTTGGCATTGGGAGCTGAGCACCCTGGCCAGCCAAGGCTGTGCCCCTAGGTTCAAGGATGATGAAAGACGCTACCTGTGCTTCCAGTCCCCTCTGCCATGCCGCACCCACCTTAACACGTGCCTGCCTTGCTGTTTGGGCTTCCCAGGTGGTGCTAGTGGTGAAGAACCGCCTGCCAATGCAGGAGACATAAGAGATGTGAGTTTGATCTCTGGGTTGGGAAGATCTCCCGGAGGAGGGCATGGCTGCCCACTCCAGTATTCCTGTCTGCAGAATCCCAGGGACAGAGAAGCCTGGCAGGGCCACAGTCCATAGAGTCTCAGAGTTGGACACGACTGAAGCGACTTAGCTCGCATGCACGCCTGACTATTTTCTGCTCCTGGAAAGCTCTGGACTCTGTGGCATCCTCCCCCATCCCCCAGCCCTGCCCAGGCCCAGGCCCCGTCATCTCACATCTGAAGTCTCAGAGCGTTCTCTTTTCTCATCGGCCTCACCCACCCCAGGTTGCCCTTCGCACTTTAGTAAGAGCAAGTCTGCTTGCAGGCAAATCTGAGTTGGCTAGTCTGTTCTGACCCCACTGCGGTTGGGAGGCCCTGGTCTGACCGGCCTCTGGAGGCCACACTCACCGGGGCACCCTTGCTCGGGTGGGTCCTGGCCCCGTGCTGCTTAGGGTGAAGCTGGTCTCTCATGCCTCTGCGCCTCCGCACATGACGCTTCCTTTCCCAGCTCAGATTTCTGCTCATAACGCAATAGTGGCGATAGCGACAGTGGCCTCAGTGGGTTAATATATTCGGCCTGTGAGGAGAGAGCGGCAACTCTTGCCTCACCCCTGGGGCCATCCCTTCCGCGTGAGCCACAGCAGGGCCTCTGGCTTCGGGAGAAGAAGCCGCACCCCTTGAAACGTGAACACCGTTTCCACCTGGGGCCCAGGTACGCTGATTCTCACTCAGCGCGTGTCCACACTGGCCCATAGGGCAGGTGGGCGCTCCTCTGTGTGGAGTGGCTCAGAGAGGCTGAGCGAGCGGCCCCAGGGCACACGGCAGAGCCCCAGACATGCTGGGCCAGGATGCAGGCCTGCGGGCTGGGCCCTCCACCCGCCCCCTCCCCAGCTCCTAACACGTGTGCCCCGGCTAGGCTCCTGGGGAAGCGGGCACTCATGGCCCATGCTGTTGTCCAGATCCTGGGAGCCTCACACGGGCGTGGCGGTGGACATGGCATGTCCCCTTTGCAAAGGCTCACATCACGTCCACGGTCACCGCCTGCTCTCGGGAGTGGCCTGCTGCCTGGGTAGGCATTCTGGACCTTTCTGGAGCCAGTCGAGATTCCTGACTATGGTGAGGCTTCCCTGGTGAGGGAAGAACCTTGGAACTCAGCCAGCCCTTCAGGGGACAGGCCAGCGAGCAGGTGGGAGTGGTGTATGTGTGCGTGGGGGCCTCCACGCACCGCGTTCCATCCCCCGAGTCGTGATCAGCCTGGCTCTCTACACCCACTGGTCCCCTCTGACAGTACCTACTGCCCTGGGCTCCTGGTGTAGACAGTTCAAGTCCAAGTGTGTTCATTGTGAATGCCAGCACACAGTAGGACGCAAGGTTGTTAAAAGGCTGATTCCTCCTGTTCTGACCTGTTTTGCGTGAGAATTCGGCTTAACCACGGAGGCCGCATGTGTGCTGGGTGGGTGTGCATGCGTGCTAAGTCACTTTGCACCCTGACTCTTTGCAACCCTATGGACCCTAATCTGCCAGGATTCTCTGTCCATGGGATTCTCCAAGCAAGAATACTGGAGTGGGTGGGCATGCCCTGCTCAAGGGGATCTTCCCAACCCAGGGATCAAAATCACGTTTCTTATGGTCTCCTGCATTGGCAGGTGGGTTCTTCACCATTAGCGCCACCTGGGAGGCACTGGGTGAGTGGCTGGTGTCAGAGATAACAAAGCCGGCCACCGGCCACAGTGTCAAGGACAGATTTCAGCCATGATAACTGTAGCAGTGGAAAGAGTCCAGCGTGTCCCGACCTTCACTTGCGCGTGTGCAGAGGTGATTGGGCATCTTACAGGGAGGGGGAGGTGGGGTCAGGGGTGTGTGAAAATTATAGCAAGTGGGATAGGAAGTGGGTCCATGTGATGGCCTTCTGGGTTTGCTGACAGTGCTTCTGGATTCAGGCCCTCCCCTCCCATGCAAGCCAGGACATGGGCCCACCTCTAGTGTGGGATCAGCCAGTTCTGGCCAGCCTTCAGCTCCCCGGGGAAGGCTCTTCAAGGCGGGCCTGAGATCCTGCTTAGGAGGTGGCCTTGAGCCCTTAGAAACGATGATGGTATTTGGCCACGTCCTTGCCTGCCGAGGTTGAGGCCTAAGAAAGCGCTCCCGGGAGGCTGCCTCTAGCCGGGCCCAGGAGGGAATCTTTGTTACCAGCCAGGTGGGGGTTTGGGATTCTCAATGGGGTGAGCGTCCATGGAAGAGGGGCCTTCAGAGCCTCTATTTTGTCCCCCATCCACAGAGACTGCTGTGCGTGGGAACAGATGAGATCCCAAGAGGGTAAAAACAACTGAAAGTGTTAGTCGCTCAGTCGTGTCCGACTCTCCGGCATCCCATGGACTGTAGCCCGCCAGGCTCCTCTGTCCATGGAATTCTCCAGGCAAGAATACTGGAGTGGGCACACATTCCCTCTCCTGGAGATCTTCCCAACCCAGGGATTGAATCCTGGTCTCCCATGTTGCAGGCAGATTCTTTACTGTCTGAGCGACCAGGGAAGACCCAAGAGGGTAAAGATGCCTGCTATGGGCTGAATTGTGTCCCCAGAGTCACATGTTGAAGCCACTGCCCCAGCGGGACTGTATTTGGTTTCTGAACCATCTCTCTGCTCCCTAGGAGCAGCCCTGTACTCCTAACCCAGTGCTCGTTCTTTTCAGAAAAGTTAAGGTCAAGTGTCAGTTGGTCACTCGTGTCCAACTCCTTGTGACCCCATGGACTGCAGCCTGACAGGCTCCTCTGTCCGTGAGATTCTCCAGGCAAGAGTACTGGAGTGGGTTGCCAGCTCCTTCTCCAGGGGATCTTCTCTACCCAGGATCAAACCTGGGTCTTCTGCATTTCAGGCAGATTCTTTGCCATCTGAGCCACCAGGGAAACCACAGCCAGAAATGAGACATCTTCATCAAGAGAAGTGAGGCTTACCAATGATCTCTCTTGGTGCACTTTAAGAACTTAAAGCCTTTTCAACCTCCCGAGACTGTGTTTGGAGACAGAGGCTTTCAGGAGGTGATTGAGGTAAAAGGAGGCCATAAGGTTGGGGCCCAGATCCAAGGGGTTAGTGCCCTTGTAGGAATGGACACCTGAGCTGGCTCTCTCTTGGCCTTGCGAGAACACAGTGGAAGGAGAAACCTACCAGAAACCTCACCAGAAACTGACCCCGATGACACCTTGATCTCAGACGTCTGGTGAGAAAATACATTTCTGATATTGAAACCCCTTGATCTGTTTGTGGTATTTTGTTACATGACAGGCTGGGCTTAGACGCAGACAGTGACTAATGACAGACTGACAGGCAGGAAGGAGAAAGAATTCGAAATTGGCCAAACCCAGAGGCTTCAGCTGTGTTTTCTCCTGATGAGAAAGACCCAGCAGAACACTTGCTTTTGCTAGATGACAGTGTTGGTCTCCAGATGTGGCTTCACGTGGCTCTGAGCGGCTAAAGGAGAAGGGGAGGCTGCAGACGCCAAGACGAATGTCCTGGCATGAGGCCCCAGTCTGCCCATGGGCCCCCCAGAGCTTCAGGGAGGAGCTGAGGGAGCCGGGGGGG